TTCACGAGAGTAAAACTATGTTGGCAAATTTTCCAAACGATTTTTATTGACCGACAAAAAAGAACAAAATTATTTTACATTAAAACATCACTTCAAACATTATAAAAAAAGTATAAAAAAGAGGTTGATAGTCCCCGACATCATCTGTCTAAATAATATTTTTTTGAAGTTATTGCAATTATAGAAAAAAATAAAGTTTAAAATAATCTACGGATCCCTGTCAAAGGATAGTTTTATAGGCGTAGAGGTAGGCGCTTGAATTCAAGCGGCAATTCAAAAACTTTTCGTTTGAGAGATGAGCTTGGCTCAGTATTATTAATTATTTTACTATTAATTAGTGAAACAGAAAATAACACTTGGTTTAACTATAAAAATATATATCTATACTAATGTTATAAAGCTGAAGAGTTTGTTTGTTTGGTTAAACGTAGCGCGTTTAACCTCAGGAATACTGTATCACTGTAATAAATCTCAGGAACTGTAGTGTTTGTTTTTAAACAGGGCGTGACACTGACACTTAAATAACTGACACACGTAGGACAGCTGTTTTGTCTATGATAGCGAACTGCTGACGTCGGCGTAGCTGTCAAACTTCATTGATTGGGTTGGTAGCATTGAGGGAATAGTTGCTTTCTTTTATTCGACTAAAATATTCGACTTGACACTTATAAAAAAAAAAGTAATAAGGCAGTGAATCTCTGTTGGTGTGTGTGGATGAATGGATGGAGGTTGACAGTTGTTGAATTTTGAATAATTTTTCCCATATCGATTTGAGTTCTCCATCGGGCGTTGTTTTTAATCGATTTTGAATTTTACTCGAAATTGAACTTCCTCGCTGTTTTAGGTGGGTGCTCTCTTTTCCTCCGCTTACGGCGAGCATAGTTATATAGTTTTGAGTTGATTCGTTGTTTCATCTCGAATGCGGCGGCTGTCTGTTTGACTGTGGCCTTTGCCTTCAGTTGGAGAGAGAAACAAATCATAGACACATATTTGGGAGTGGGCGGTCTATCATCTATGCTCAGTTGTCAAAACAACATTTAAAAATTTCACATTCTGTTTTCGGAAAAGTAATTCGAATTTTGTCTTCTGCCCAAAGTATCTTATAAGGAGGACCATTACCGCGTCGTCGGAGTCGTGAAATAGATGCGAAAAGTTTATATCCTGAAGGATATTGGCGGAAATAGCGCGGAGACGCTGGCCGAACTGTAATTCGGGTTGATAAAGTTTCACAGGTATCTTGGGTAACTCCTTATTACTCCTACTTATTTTGCAAGTTGTGGCTATGAAAAATAACCTTTCTGTTTGATCTTCTGTGTCGTAGGTGGACGGTTATAGAATTTCGCAAGGCGGGGCAGAACTTGTGATAGGAAACAGATACTTACGGATAGTTTTATATTTCGAACGGTAAGCTATCATCTGACCTCATATCTATTCTCCTAGCACTAATTGAACTGCATTATGCATGATATCGTGATTATTGTCATCAAACATACCTAATCATTCTTGTCAAGTTAGTGAACATGAAATTGATTTCCTTCAACCCGGTGGGATGGGCCCCAGTCATGTAGTGATTAACATTAACCGTGAATATCCCTCACCCTACCCGCTAGTGATACAGATGTAGATGATCTATGTATTTTCCCCATGTCTGATCATTTTTTTTTTTCAATGTGAACTTCAGGCTTGTACGCTCTCCTCAAGAAATACTGGAGGAATAACAGGGAGATTCCCTCTCTGTACACGGACCAGAGGGGACTCGTGAGATCATTCCAATAAAGGTTGCAAGCCGCTCTAGGGTTTCATGTAACTGCGGACAGATCATACCCTGCTGAACCTATCCTAATCAAGGTATTGTTGATAACTAACACCGGACGAGCGTGGAGCGGGTACCACCAGGCGAGGTTGGACCCCGACCTACCCCTTTCTATATATATACAGGGTGAAATTGAATATTTCTATGAAACTTCGTGAGATTGTTGGGTTACGTGTTTAGAGCATGCATGATTTTTTTCGGATTTTTTAAAATAAAATTTTTCGTTTTTTAATTTTTTTTTGGTTATTTTTTTGTCATTTCTTCCTTATGAGTAATTATTCATTTTAAACACGTCTACATAGAAGTTATAAAGCAACTTAAAATAAGCACTACTAAAAAAACGGAAACTTAATGAATGCCTTCATTATGCCTCCAGTCGAGATCAGCGCCGGTCGGGGCGACGACCGCGGCCGCCTGTCTAGGTACCTACTACACGCACAGATGACTCGGCGCTTACCTACTATCCGCTTTGATCCACACTATTTAAAAACATTACAATAAAATAGTCTTAGATGCTATATTATAATTATTTATTCACTGATACACAATACCTTTGAATATTGTTTCATAAAGCACAGGTAATTAATCAATAAAATAAATCTTCTGTTAGAGAAATTAAAAATCCTATAAAGTTAATATGACTGTCACGATTTTAAATCGGTAAAGCCTGTCTGTTAGTGTAAGAACTTCTTTTTTATTGTTAATGTTAGTTGCCTCGTTTAATTAAAACTTAAGCACAAACGGCTTATTAAATTGGGAAAAATCATACAGAGCAAATCGGTATAACTTACGAGCTTAGTGAAGGAAGGAACTCTTCGTGTCTGATTTGCCCACGTCATGAAATTCCCAACACATTTAATCACAGCCACAGTCACACACACACACACGTAATAATATGTTGTTTTGCGGCAAGCACGGGCGGGCGGCGCGCCGCACGCTGGCAACTAGCGCCGGTTGCGGCGTCTTTGATGATGTGAATTCCGCCCACCTCCCCTCTTCCCCGCACGCGGTGGTTTGCTTTGATTGCATGCAAAACGCAGTCGCAAGTATATCAATCGCGCGTGCGCGTGCGCATCTTTTGACTTTGTGACATACACTGTGATAATTTCATTATGCCTCGGTATACGAACCAAGAATACCTATTTAGAGATGGTGTACTGCTATCGCGAGTGTGACGAAGTAGGTTTGGTTTACGAATGAGTCCCCAAACCATAGAAGTTGCATTTTGTGCAGTGAGTAGTGATAGGGACACATTAAAAAAGGTGAAAAGACACGTCCGCAAACATGCCTACCTTTGTTTGCAGCAAAATGGTGGTTTAGAGCAACAATTTTGCAGATAATAATTTAAGTCTCTTTTTATTGCTAGTGTAAATACTTTTTGATTAGAAACAACTAATTGTGTACTACCAGTATGATTGATTTGATTACAAGTTCTAGTGAAAAAAATGAATATGTTCCTCGTTCCTCGTTGTACATACCTACATCGTCGGTCTCGTAAGTACTTTTGAATACCGGGTTATAAATTTCATTCTGACCCAAGTATTGAACTGCAATAAGTATTTCTTTTTGTTTAACATTTGCCTATTTCCAATCGTGACAAAATTATTATTAACTTTTAAAGTTTTTCTCTGCTTAAGAGAAGATGACATTTGTGCTTATTATTTCAATTTCAATAAAGGCATCTAAGACAATTTTATTGTATTGTGTGGAATCAAACGAGTCAGCTGAGCTCTGTGTACGTACCTTCTCACTCAACGGCTGGCGGGCGCGGTCGGTCGTTGACCCGCGGTGGAATTTAATGTTTTTCTGTTTTTTAGAAGTGCTTATTTATTAGTTGTTTTTTACTGGATATGTAAGTTTGTTTGTTTAAAATGAATAACTACTCAAAAGGAGGAAAGGACATAAAAATACACAAATTATAAATAAATACATAAAAAAAATATACTTCGAAAAAATCCGAAAAATACAGGCATACTCTATACACATAACCCAACAATCTCACGAAGTTTCATAGAAACATTCAATTTCACCCTATATATATCTCTATAACTGGTTGACTCATTGAGAACCATAACTAACTAAGTTTATCACCAATATCGATCAAACGAGCCGTAGAACCTCTGAAACCCACTAAATAGCTTATTAAGTCTAGTCTTTGTGGTCTCTCAATGGACAGTCCATTGCAGAGTGGATGGAATACATTAGATATAGTTTAAGAACTTATGTAAGTACATGGTAGATTGTTATGAATGTCTGATGTCTATATAATTCTAAGATTCATGCTAACTTGTGATTTATAAAAACTCTCACTTTAAAACTACTATATTCAGCTTAGTTAGGAGAGTGAACGTTGGCAAAATATAGTATAACATTTCTTGCCCACTGGGGGAATTTGTATAAACTCTGACATTGAAGATTACTGTATTCAGCCTCGTTGTGACAGGTTGGGTTAGTGAAATATAGTTATAAGGTTTCATGTCAACTTGGCAATTTATATAAACTAGAACTTAGAACTACTGTATTAATCTTTTTTTTTTAATCCATAGTTGGTGAAATATAATTATAGCATTATTTGAATTTTTTTGGTTTTCTTTCATTGCTTCCCCTGCTCTCTGAGGTAGAGTAAAAGAGGGCAGTGGAGTAGAAATTAACATCACAGAACTACTGATTCAAATTGAGAAAATATTTGTGTGATAGATAGCCCATTTATCGAGGAAGTTTTAGCTAAATAGCATCACGATAAAACTAATAGGAGCGGAGCATCAATGAAATATGTTGCGAAACCGGAAAAAATGGAGAGCAGATTTTCAAAGCTTTTTTACCCGATTATTATTATATTGAGCCGATTTAAACGGTTAAAGTTACACAAAAATCATGTATGTAAAAATTGTTCTCCTTTAAAAGTTCTAAACAGAAGTCCGCGACATTATCCCCCTTATTAATAAACAAGGAATAAGCTTAGACTAGTTACGTCGTGTTTTGTTCATTTCACTCAAATGCCATTTGTCGTTCAATGAACAGAGACAAAACATGGAGTTATTGATCTTTGCTTATTCTTTGTTTAATAATAAAGGGGCATGTTTATCTTTTAAGTTTGACTCACTATAACCTTATTCCTCAAATTAACGTGGGTGGACCGCAGAGGACCTCTAGTAAATGATAGAATAAAAGAAAAGTAGGTACTTACGTATTCAATTTGCTTCATATAAAGCATGGGGTTGTTGTTTGCCAGTATGAGGGGCTTGCCATTGTTGAAAATGGCACAGATGACCAGACCAAGGGAGAACATGTCCGATAGGATGTTGCATTGCCCGTTCGTTTGTACTTCCGGAGCTGCAACAAATTTTGTATCAATTTATGTACTCTAAAAAAAAAGCGCAGACGGCGCTGGCGGGCCGGGGCGGGCCGAGCCGGACCAGCCCGCCGCAAGCTAAACAACAAAATGGATTGTATTGTAAATGTTCTGTTTAAGGTAGAGCGCTTTTTTACAAAAAAAAAATAAAAATAAACTAAAAATAAAACCGATTTCAAAATCGAAAATGGAACTAAAAAGTATAAAATAATATCTGGCTCATGATTTGGAAGTCGGGTGGGTCAAGATTGAAAGACGTATTATTAGTGATCAGAAACGAAAATCTATTTAATGTTTCAATCTTGAGCCCGCCCGAATTCCAAATCATGAACCCGATATTATGTTTTACTTTTTAGTTCCATTTTCGATTTTGTAGTCGGTTTTATTTATTGTTATAATTTTTTATTTCATCCATTTTAGTGAAAATCACATCGATCAAGTAAACAATTGACGGAGAAATCATTGAACATACATAAAAAACATCGTGCGTGCCTTTGAAATTTAAAGATTTATGACGGAGAAATCGGTGAACATACATTAAAAAAAATATAATATATAAAGAAAGAAAGAAGAAGTCAGTGATAGGTAGGGTAAACTTTAAACTTAAAATTATATAGGATAAATCGTTTTATGCCGGCAGCACTGGGGTGACCAATCCGAAACGAAGAATAGAGTAATAAGAATCCGATAAGAGTCATGCGACTTTAGAGTCGTGTGTGACTTGACTTATATATGGGAATGCTATTTCAAACGAGTCAAACAAAATAGGTATCCGTGCTACGTTTTAGAACTCGTGGTCAAAAAGATCGTTCATCCCTCGGTCTGCGTTGTGCCCAACATACAAGTGTGCAGATGAGATTTACTGTTTTACTTTGTTGTAAATGTTGTTTCGTTATTTTTTTTGCTTTGTGTTACGTTTTATATTTATATTTTAAAATCCCAGAAAAAATATTCTAACAGGTGGTGGGGTGAAAAACTTAATACCATTCAACTGAGTTATATTTAGTAAAGGTATTTTGATATATCTGTACTGGATGAGTTATTGCAAAGAATTATGAGGTATTGCAAAAAAGTGATCCATGTCCTTTTCCGAGATTTCCTTTATCTCTGAACAAAAATGCATCGAAATCGGTTCAGCGATTTATGGGTTGATATGTAACAGAAAGACTACTATATGTATAAAAATATAATATTACTTACTTTGAATCTACGTACGTAAACGTGACCTTTTTCTTAAGCCATGTTGATAATTTCTTATAAACATTGTCAGTTCACAATACAACATCGATAACGAAATAATCGAAAACACACTACTTTAGAACAAAAGGCATATTTTTTCTATATAAGCAAGCACTACGCGGTTGACAATTCCTTCCATTAATAAAGTTCCTAATAGAAAATAGTTTCCCATTCTAAACTCAAAGAATACCGAGTTCCTCAATAGTATTTCTTGGGCGCCTTCATACAATACAATACTGCTAAAAGCTACCGCTTTCGTAAAGTCAGCAAAATAATTACTCCGTAATTGAACACCTTGATAGGGTGTACTAAAGCACTTACATTATTATATTTAAAGAAAACGCAGTATGTTTTATGTCTTCGTCTACTGCCTTTTGGCGTTATTGTGCCAATTGACATTTTTTAGAGAAAGTTTTACATTGTCAATTAATGTTTTTCAATTAATTTTGGTGCCCTATGCAAGACGAACTTCCATCGCGGTCATGTACATCTTAGTACATAACAGATTTTGTGATGGTTGTCGGCCTGCCACTTTAAACTACAATTCTGTACGCTGCATTATATAAATAAACAGACATGTTACCTACCGTTAGATTTAGGATTGTAAAAACAGAATAAGGGGATGTTAAGGACTAACATTCTGAACATCGTATAGGTAATTTTACCTTTCATCATCATCATCATCAGCCTATTAATGTCCCCACTGTTGGGGTACAGGCCTTCCCTATGGATGGAATAGGGAGATTGGGCCATGACCCACCGCGCGGGCCCAGTGCGGATTGGTGGGTGCTAACGACTGCAGATGCAACCGGGACCAACGGTTTAATGTGCCTTCCGAAGAACGGAGGAGCTCGAGATAGTAAATTTTTGGTCACCCATCCAATGACCGACCACTGCGAAAGTTGCTTAACTACAACGATCGCAGTCGAACGCGCTAACCACCTGCGCCATCGAGCTCCTCCTAATTTTACCTTTATTTTATTATATTTTATCCCTAAGGAGATGGGATTTATTGAAAGCAGTGTTGTACCACTAAGGTGTATCCCTAGAGGAGAAGTACTATATTCGGGCGGATATAACCCAAGTTAAACAACGGAATAACCTTTATGTTTTCATTCTCGAACTACAGTACTATTCCAATTAATATGTATTTCTATATAAATATCCTTTTACATGTACAGTATATGTATTCTATCCGTTAACCTAATATCCCATAATACAACCCTTATAGTGCTTAGCTTGGGGCTAGGCTTATTGGTGTGAGTGTTGGAAATATTAAATTATGCGAAATAATCAATCTTTTTGCGCTCGTCTTCCATCTAGGGGTCCTTTTGTCGACATCGACATTGTTATTTGCCCTCTAGATTTATTTCTTGTTTGTTTCAGCAAAAACAAATAACGGTATCCGTCCGAATCAGTTCACCTCTAAGCTTTCCCAAACCAATGCCTAGTGAGCTGAATGGCCTGCGCAGACGAGGGAATTTTGTCCGACAAAATAGATCGCTAACAACTGCATCGCTTAACGCACACGAAAAAAGTAAAGTAGTTTAAAAGAACCGGGTAGCAAAAGAGGCGCAGAGAGACCGGACTGGACAAAAATACGGGGTGTCTAAGAAGAAGACAGCACGCAGCGCGTTACGCGGGCGATTCGTTCTAAAGAATCCAGTGTTCTATTGTAAAACGGCTTTTCTTTTTCTTAAACTTCATGTTCATTACAATTAGAAAGAAAGAAAGAAAAAGCTTTTATTGACCTTACACAAGTATGAAAAAAAAAACAATAAACATAGCAACAAAAATAAAATAACAACAGTGAGCAACAATATGGAGAGAGAAAAGGCCAATCAGGACCCTGCCTCAGCTTAATGCTGTTATAGTAGGAATGGTATATTTCCACCATAACAGCACTGGTATTCTGGCAGGGCCTGTACGAGATTGCTAGAGACAACAGTATACATAATAAAATATACTAAATATACTAGAGACAACAGTATACACAACAATTACAACACAATGAAATCTCGGAATATTAGGTTTTATAGCGTGCACTTCTCTTTTCCGGGCAACAAATGTCCGCACATCGTGTGCGTTGAGACCGTGACAAGTTAATTCACGATACAGGATTTTGTGCCTCCACGGAAAAAAATCCCTCGTCTGCGCAGGCCATTAATAGTACCTAATCCATTACAAAAAATCTATTTAAACACGTTTTCATGTATCACTAAGAATTAAGTGAGGTTTATCTAAGGTTAATTGGTGCAAACACGTAAGGATGTTTGTTTATATACATGATACCCTACATTACTGTAAGTTTGGAATTATTATTATCAGTGACAGAAAGAATTAAAGGAAATAGCATTAAATACTTTAATTATGACGAAGAAAAAAGGAAGGACATGTTTGTTGTACGGAATAAAAGGAAACTGATAAAGAATATATGAAGATGAAATGACGGGTGTTCAGGGAGAATGGTAGATTAAACATAATTATTTAACCAGACCACGAATAAAAAGTACAAGTATGGACACATTATGACTGTAAAGGTAAAGATATATTTAAGACACTTACCTAAAAAGTCCAGGTTGGGTTGCGATATTTTAGCCACTTTGATGGACCACGGCGGCACAGTCATCATTTCCGTTGGATCTGGTCCGATTATGTTCTCTGTGGACAAATTTATAGAACTTAAGGAAAACTTAGGTAAAGCTCGAATCTTTCGTCCAACGGTCACTGAGCCTGACTAAAAATTAAACTAAATTTGCTAGCAGTTTCTCTTTATCATTTTTTTAGAAACGATTTTGATCAAAGATTTTGATATAACCACCCACTACACAGCCTAGACGCCTAATGATAGGAATGCATACCTGACAACACATCTGTCCAAATAAATAAATACTTCAACACTCACACCATTATTAGCCTAGCCCCAAAGTATAAGCACTGGAAGGCTTGTTATGGGATACTAGGGTAACGGATAGAATACATATTCAAGTATTTTTGTATACAAATACATATTATACATCCATGACTGGAGTACAAATGCTTGTATTCATCACACAAACATCTGCCCCCACCGGGATTCGAACCCGGGACCTCTCGAGTCGGCGACACTATGAAACCCAGCGTATAAACCACTCTGCCACGGAGGTCATCAATGACTCCATGTACCATCATCATATCATTTATTTACATTATGACCTTGTATTAGCCAGTAAAGGCGCTGTCCCTCTGCTTCCTCTTGCTTCTGCCAGTTGCCAGAATGCATTAAGCACTGAAAATATAACGTTAGGCGTCTAAGGTCTGTGTAGTTGATAGATATAGGTACCAGAATATACGTTATATCTATGGGATAATATTTTTATACTCTCTTTATTGCACAAAAAAAATGTAAGATACAAAACATAAATATGTGAGCAAAGGAGGGCTTATCTCTAAGATATAATATACTTCTGTTAAATTTCGTTTTAGAGAATTATGCCAGAACCAGGCCCATTATTTATAGTTATACTAATAAGTACGCTACACAAAGTTAAAGCTATGTTTAAACAAACTTTATATGACATTTCATATGTAGCTCATGTTTAACGCCCGACTAACTTTTTGTGGTAAAGTTAATAGCTTCGTAAATTGTTTTGCTTCAGTTAATGTTTATGTTTAGATAAGGATAGTTACAGAAGTTTTATTGCACATTATACTATTAATTTATAAGTTAATGTTTTGTATTAATTAATAGTTTTAATATGAATTTAAAATAAAATTGAATACTAGTCTTTATTTATAGAGCGTTCTTTCTTTTTAGATTACCATATACACATATAATGATAAGTTACCTACTCTTTTTTTCATTGATTGATCACAGTAATAAATTTCAATCATTGGTTCTCTTCGCTCATTGGTGCTTCTACCCACTTATTCACATTAAAGCAATTGTTCAGGTCGAGGAAATAACTTTAATTTCATATAAAATCCACACTATGCCTAACTCTCCTTATTATTACGGTTGCCCGCTTAAAGGTGGGTGTGAATGTGTCAATAATGTTATTTGCTATAAAAAATAGATTAGACTTTAGGCTGCCCACTACAGTTTATTTCATTCAAAACTACCAATATTATTGCGTGAAACACTTTATTGCGTGATTGTAGTTTTAGAGGGGGGATAATTTTTTGTATTTACATTGGTCGATTTTTCTGAACGATATACATAACTATACTAATATGTATGTTAGGCATACCAAATACCGGAGAGTACGAACACATATGAGTTTAAAGATTGTGCATATTACAAATTTATTGCGACTCATTCTGGCGTGCTTCTCTAAACCTAAAATTTAATTTGACAATAGTGTATCCTTATTATGCCTATGCATCACACTGGTCGCGTTGGGCTGCGTCGGCCGTGTTGCTCTATGTCCATACAGAACGAAAAGGGGAGACTGTTGTCAAATGTAGTTTAAGCATGTTAAAGTTGGTACAATTGAAATATTTAAAGACATATTGAAATTAACGAAATTAGTGTCATGGTTAATGAAACCTAATTTCATGAAACTTGTTGCAATAAATATGTAACTAGTTTCGTTAAAATATTTAATAGTGTCGGCAAATTGCAGTACAGCTGGAATTATGGCTCCGAGAGCATCAAAGCTTTATTTTGCAATGCAAAATATTGTCATACATATGTTATTGTATAAAATTAATAAAAGGTTGTCTCAAAAGAAAATACTACAACTAAAAACAAAAGTCCTATCACTGACAGGCGCTTTCGCGCGACTAGTTTTAAGTCGCGTTAGTATGATACTAGTTTTATTCATAAATCGCGGGCGACACGAAACTTGTTTTAGTGTCATGAAATGCATACATTTTAAAACTTGACGTTTACACGTGAAATTTTCGATGAAATAAATGTTATAACTTTCATGCCACTAATTTCGTAATCTAAATTAAGCTTAACGGATTATTTATAAAAAATATTATCCATAATTATATATAAACATTCTTTATTACCATATTCCATAACTTTTAGATATTGTTTGAGTGATATGGTTTAGAACCATGAATTATGGTATATAATGATTCCATTTTTGTTGTGCTGGATGTAACAATAAGCGCAATTATAGGATAAAACCATTTAACTAACATCTTTGCACTTATGTACCTCTATCTCCCATCATCTAAAGGATACATGGAGGTAGATAAAACAGCCGCTCAAGTTCTCTAGTACAAAAGCACAAGTTTTGAGAATAGCACATTTTAGGAAACTGACATTGTACTCCTCAGGGGACTAACCTATCACCAAAATACTTAGAACAGGCTTTAGAAAGACGCCAAGACGAATAAGAAAAGGACAAGACGGTTCCAAGTTCCGTTGTCACGATGATGGTGAAAATTTATTCGATATATGTTGTAGGTTTAAGAAAGAGTAAGCGGATATACAGTCAAGTATCCTTATTTTACAGTATCTTTAGATATATATGTCATGTATAAAATAATATACGAAGCACACTCAACTGCTTTGTGAAATGTAATTTATGAATTAATATAAGGCTATATAGAGACAGCCATAACCTACTTTGAATTATGATATGTCTAACAGCCGTCCATTTATCTTACTGTAGAACGCTCTTGAGAGTAACTTTGTAGGTACAGTCAGCTTCATAAAAATATGAAGTGACAAGGTGGTTAAATAAAATATGTTAGGAGCAAAGGTTCAATGATAAAACTAGTTCAATAAATTTGATGAATTTTTTAGTTAATGTTTTGGGCGCATGTAATTGGAATCCACTTTAACAGGTGAACTATAACACTAATTTAAAAATACAACGATGATGAGGAAGCATACCTACCCAGAATCTTTGTTAACTTTTTATGCTCTGGCATGCCTATTTGACTAAAGAAATTTAGTCGTCAGTATTTCTCTATATTTTTTCTCTATAAAATTAATATAATTATTAGCATTACTCACTTCGCCTTTGCGTGAAATAATTAAGCTCCACGAAATATTAACGAAAATGCAAAAGGTAAAATTGGTAGGTAGGTAATATATAATTAAATTAAATGGTTCCCATTTTTGTTTATATACAAAACCACCTGAATTTATTATGAATGTCAGCTTTCCCATTCAAATTTTCGATAATCCGTCCCTTATTTTGTATACACACCTGCTTCGTTCTCACCCACAGCAGTCATACTGATAATACCATTGGCAACTTTTCATATAATTCCCCGTTCAATTCTGCGGATCACTTTATGAATGAATCATGAAAACCTTAAAATGAAACCTTCGCTTTTGTGAGCCCGGATTCCCTGATGCTATAACAATTTAATATACTGTTATCGTTTATTTGGAAAATGTTATTTTTAAATCAACGCGTATTTTATCTATAAGAGGATTAATTCAAATAAGTGATCACAGTTAGTACTGTAATACGTACGTATTGTAATTTTTTAATGAATTAAGTTATTAATAGCATTTGGAAGTCAAAAAGTTTGATTTTGGTTAATGGTTTGACGATGAAGGGCTAATCGTCGTGAATTAAAATAAAACCGGCCAAGTGCGAGTCGGACTCGCGCACCGAGGGTTCCGTACAAACCTGTAGGTATATAAGTAAAAGTTCACCCATTTGACATAAAAGTTTGATTTTGTGACAGCCTTAAGGTATTATAGACCTGAATATTTTATATGAATTTCAATTTAATACCTCTACGCGTTTATGAGAAATGAGGTAGTAACTTTAAAATTTTTCAAATTATTTTTTATATGATGTAACTAAAAATTTACGGTTTTCGCAATTTTTCCTTTATCTGATTCAAGATTCTAAGTTCACGGGAAGTATCCTGTAGGATCTGATTCCCGTGCGAGTATCGAAATTTTGCAGAAAATTGCGGCATAAACGGCTGTATCTTGTTGCTTTGGCTTAGAAGTTTGATTCTTTCACAGCTCCAAGGGACAGTAGACTTAAGTATTAGATATGAATTTCAGTATGATACCGCCACGCGTTCCTGAGAAAACAGTTTCGACAGACGGACTGACGGACAGTGTGACAGTAACAAAGTGATTCTATAAAGGTTCCGTTTCTTCCTTTTGAGGTACGGAACCCTAAATAAAGAACCTCAAGGGAATGAAATAGGGGGGCAGTTTAATGAAAATTGGCCCACAGCACAAATTAGTGAGTATTTACACGTTCATTGTACAAACTTACTGAAGGTACTTACTACTTAAGGTACGTAACTTAAGTAAGGTCTGGCAACCTTGGGATCTTACTCTATAATCATAGCTGTTTGTCGACCGTTCTCCATTATGTGGCAATGCTTTATTGCATGCATTCCCAAGGAAAGTTGCTAAATTGCTGCTTCCCTAAGCACGCTAAATTTCAGTATAAACTTAAGTACCTACTGTATCTTTGCCAAGATTTATGTTAGCTACTTTAGTTACCCCATGAAAATATTTTATCGGTCATAAATACACATACATTTATCACAGTACATCAAATTTGATTTTCATGAATGGCATTGAAAATGTTTAATAAATTAACAAAGGTAAAAGATATCTGTTGCCACATGGTTGCCACGCGCAACTAGGACTCAGATCTTTCATATTTCTGAGTTACCATTTTGCTAATTGTAAGATTTCTTCCTTATATGAATGATTAGTCTCGCTTCACTGAGTG